CAGAAACAAGGATGGGGAGAGAATCTATAAGATCAGGTATAAAAAGTTCAAGAAGTCATGCACAGTGCAGGCAGTGCAAGGGAGCTGCACGTTTGGTAAGGACTATCTACTGTACTCCTGGGTTAAATTATCTTGATATAAACTAGGTTAGCTCAGACATAGTTTTTTAGGGCCATTCTATATATTGTTATAAGGTCACACCGGGTTAATTTTATAAAAATGCATATGCTACTGTTTACCATCCAATACAACTAACAATTCTCTCCCTGTAAAATGCAGACTATGTGACTGAACTCACAGAAGAAGCAGTGAGGCTCTGCGAAGAAGCTATCGTGGATGATGATCTGATGGAAATACCACCAACCCTTACAAGTACTAGTGGTGCTGACAGGCTGAACAAAGAAGCTGCCATCCAGGCCCACAGAACAAGATTCAGCATTGATGAATAGTAGTAAAAGTACAGTTCTTCTTCTGCAGTACAGTAGTGTAGTAATAAAGCACACATGTAGTACTAGTACAAGTTGGCATCCTTCCATATCAAGAAAGGATGGTTTCACTGTGCTGTCATGGCTGTAAATTTCTTGTATACATGTATATATTGAGACACCCTTAACTTTAAACCCTGATCAACATTTGAACCAACTTAGGTAAACTTATACTTCTAACAAGTTCTATTCTGTGGCTGACAACATTAGCCTTCCATTACTACTAATTCAGTGGAGGGTACTGGAATCCTGTGTATTGTGCTGACGGAAAGGTGTCCCTGATCTTTGTCACTGCACATGCAGGGAGGACCACTCTCACTTCTCTTCCCAGCCACCCCCAGCACCAACGCACCAACTGGCGGTAGGCAATGTACCGGTACCTCCTAAATTGGACGGCTTGGTTAATTTTTTTTACATTATCCATTGTAGCAACTAAACTGTGAACTTGTATAAGTCTGTATCAAATTTATATGGACTACAGATTACTAGTAGATAACGAACTTCACTGGTTAACTCATAACTGAAACTGTGCACATCAGTTCTATAGGAAACAGGAAAATATTTCCACCGTGATTGAACAGTGACTGCTGGTACTAAATTTAAATTGAGTGGTCATAAGATACATACCCTCAGTAAACTTGTACTGCTGAAGTAATGCACATACAGATACTAGTATGTCTGCAATCAACATTTAATGTTAATTTATTAGTTGGAAACAGAGAACGTGCATATCGCTAGGTAGCTTACTCATGGGTTGGATCTTGACTGGGCCCATACTCTTGCCTGTACTGGTAGTAAGCACACTGTAGTGCCCAGATGTCTAGACAGACTGATGAGAAGCCAGGGTGCATGGTTATGCACTTGGGGGCTGGAGACACCCCCTCCATAGTGTTCCTAATTTGTTCGTGTTCTTGACAACAGACACATTCTGTTGTGGTTGCCATTATACGGCAATTATCACATCTGCACCTGAAATGTTATATAGAATTATGTGATACATATACCATATAGGTAATAGTTGTATCACTCTCAACTTTCCAATGTTATTAAATAAATTTTTAGGCAGGTAGGTATGATGATGACTTATTCAAAATGTCCATCCTACTAGTAATAAGTAATTTAGCGTTGTACAATGTCTCTGGCGTGTTTAAAAAAAAGACGTGTCTTCAACCACACATACTGGTAAACACACACACACTTCTGTGGATATATTTATCACAAACAGCACAAAATTAAAGACAACAAAATTCTGGCAAATAGAGTTTATTTAACAACTATTCAAAATATGATACACATAAGAAAACTGGTTTAGGATACATGTATTTACGTGCTGTCGAAAAGTTTATCGCAAAGAAATCTGTTCTAAATCTAATGTTTACAACGTGCTGTTTGGATGATGAGAGGAAAATGTATGCAACTTGACTTTTTCTGCACAATTTGTGCCAAATAAACTACTTGAACAATAAAGATTTATAGTTCATTCATGAACATTCATGAATAAAGTTTCTGTGCGTAGCTGACGAATAGCCTGTTTTTCTTTCGTAGCGTTTACTTCTGCGTCGACGCGACAAAAAAATTTATCACAGAATACCACCGAGCCCCCCTCCCCCTTCACGAACCATAAAACGTCACAACGCCGAACTGCTCGTACGCTGAGCCCTCAGAATTATTCGGAACAATTAATCCGTGACATAACTTTTAGTTCCTTGCAGACCAAGTAGCACATAAAACAGTGTGACACAGTACCTTCATCGCGTACAAAGCAATTTGGAACTGAAGGACGCAACGGGGCGGCTCAGCGTATACACACCAGTTTCGGTTTGAACGGCGGTCCTGATTCCCGCGATCTGGTGCCTCTGGATCCCCGTCTTCTCCCTCCGCCGCCTCGGGCTCAAACTGGTAAGGTTGAACGCCCCCAACGCCGTACGCGTCGCCCCACTCGAGCTCTCCACCAACTTCCATGGCTTCCGCCATTTTGGGCGACCTCTCCTCTGACCCGTCGGCGGGTGGGCGTTCCTACTGTGACGTCACGTGACGTCATCACCCAGATTTGCCGAGATCAAGGAAACCCAAGATGTTTGGCGCGCTGTGTTAAAAACGAGCGCGCGCTGGTGGACGCGATTGCTAAAATTTATGAGCACAACCGACAATCTTCAGATTAAGTACAACAGATTAAGTCTATTTTCCCTGTTACATAGGGGCTTTAAATATATATGCGCGGTGTAATGAATTACAATATACACTAATTAATGAAGATTTAATACATCAGTGATAAGGCGTCCATAATGTTTGACTTGCTTAAACCTTAAGAGACAGATCACAAAATGATCGACTAGGATGAATGACAATGAACAGCAGCATAACTTTTTCAATGTTTCTCTTTTATGTTACTCAGCATCTCTGCAGTAAAACAATTCAAAACATTATTTAAACAGTAACGTCTCTGTAAGACAACGTAACACAGACTATGTGTCCATCACTAAATCGGCTAAAAACATAATCCATTAAACTGAACGTTCTGATAGTATAAACATGCACCACACTCTAAATGCTATCATATTTTGTAGGTATTAAAACAATAAAACAGGAAATACAAGATACGCTTTGAACTTTTTAAACTGTACTGTTTTGTTTATATATGTACTCCTTGATGGAAGTTATAGCAGTCTTGCGGACCGTTGGATTGTTTGTGTTCGCAGTACACGATCCGTTGTCTGCATTGGTGTGTAATTTGGCATGTGGGCTGTTGGAGATGATGCACGTTGTTTTTTTTTACGCCGTAGCCGTTTTCGTAGGTTATGTGATATTCCATCAGAAAACTCCCTATTTTGAGGGACTTGTGAAACAGCACAATAATCTCTGGCTATTCCGGGTGTGCGACAATAGGGTCTTCTCGAAGCAGATGTTGGGCTATCACCCCCTGCCTAGCTGTCAGATGTTTCACCTAGTTTTGCTTACCCTTGTATGTTCCTTATGTATGTATGTATGTCTAAGTCAAGTAGTGCATCTTTTGTCTCCAATTCTCTATATACGTTTGTTATGTGTCTGTTATATCTTGACCTGTACCTAGCCCGTCGTGGCATGAATGTACAATAAAGGAATTTCATTTCAATGATGTTTGTTATTTGGCTGATTGCTTTTTCAGTCAAGTATTTTTCACACAACATTTTACTTATTGTTAAACCTCGGCACTGTTGAAGACTGTCTAGCTTTTTGGTAATGTCAATATTGTTGCTTGTTTCCTGTCTCCATGGCGGTAGTAGAACACAGTCAACAACCCTAACTACAAGACCATCCTCATGCCATCACTATTTTATTTTCCCTTCACTTAACATCTACCACAAACTTTTGTTTACATTTAAAAAAAAAAAAAGGAGAATATGTGCCCCAAAATATCCCCTTAATTGAGTCCTGTAGTGAGAACTCTATGGGTTTTTTTTTTACAACTATCAACATTAACGCATCACACGCAACATTCCCTACACTACGCAGCTTTGAAGTCCTGCCAGAGTCTCGGTAATATTTTGCTGTTCCTGTTTGTTTCCTGTCTCCATGGCGATGGTCATGGCTGATTGATAGTGAGATCTGGCCTGGTCAAGTTTACCTATGGCGTGACAGGAAGCAGCCATGTTTTGATGTGCTGTTATCTGCTCTTTCCTGTTCCCACTTCCTTGGCTCATCTCAAGATACTTTTGGAACCACCCCAGCGCTACTTGATGTTCCCTTAGTTCATAATGGGCCGCTCCTAGTCCACAGTAACCCACTCCCTGATGATGTATGTCCCCCAACTGCCTGGCTAGTCCGAGAGCCTGTTTATAATGCTGGATGGCCGTACGTGGGGAGTGGCGTTGTTCCATGTGCATGTCACCCATGGAGATGTAAAAACCCATTTGTCCATGTAGATCCCCTGTCTGCTGTGCCAGCTGTAAGGCTTTGTCCAAATGGGATGTCGCCTGCTCGATTCTTCCAAGGAATCTGTATGTATTGCCCACAGCCGTGTGTGCTGTTATCTGTTTATTCTTGTCTTCAATGTCTTGACTTACCTTCAGGTGCTTCTGATACCAATCTAGAGCTGCTTCATACTCCCCTATGTCATAATGGGACTGACCAAACCTGTTGTCAGCCACTCCCTCCTCACGCCTGTCCCCCAACTGCCTGGCTAGTGCGAGGTACTGTTCATAATACTGGATGGCTGTACGTGGGGAGTGGAGTTGTTCCCTCTGCATGTCACCCATCTTACAGTAAACATCCATCTGTCCATGTAGGTTCTCTGTCTGCTGTGCCAGCTGTAAGGCTGTGTCGAAGTGAGATGTCGCTTGTTCGATGTTTCCAAGTACTCTGTATGCATTTCCCACAGCCGTGTGTGCTGTTACCTCTTCTTTCTTGTCTTCAATTTCTTGACTTATCTTCAGATGCTTCTGATACCATTCTAGAGCTGCTTCATACACCCTCATATCAACATGGGCCGTTCCCAACCTGTTGTAAGCCACTCCCTCTTTACGCCTGTCCCCCAACTGCCTGGCTAGTGTGAGATACTGTTCATAATACTGGATGGCTGTATGTGGGGAGTGGAGTTGTACCCTCTGCATGTCACCCATCTTACAGTAAACATCCATCTGTCCATGTAGGTTCTCTGTCTGCTGTGCCAGATGTAAGGCTGTGTCGAAGTGGGATGTCGCCTGTTCGGTTTTGCCAAGTAATCTGTATGCAACGCCCACATTCACATGTGCTGTTACCTCTTCTTTCTTGTCTTCAATTTCTTGACTTAGGTTCAGGTACTTCTGATACCACTCTAGAGCTGCTTCATACTCCCTCATCCCATAATGAGCGTGACCTAACCTGTTGTAAGCCTGTGCCTCCTCACGCCTGTCCCCCAACTGCCTGGCTAGTGCGAGATACTGTTCATAATACTGGATGGATGTTCGTGGGGAGTGGAGTTGTTCCCTCTGCATGTCACCCATCTTACAGTATACATCCATCTGACCATGTTGGTTCTCTGTCTGCTGTGCCAGCTGTAGGGCTGTGTCGAAGTGGGCTGTCGCCTGTTCTATTTTCCCAAGTAATCTGTATGCATTTCCCACAGCCGTGTGTGCTGTTACCTCATCTTTCTTGTCTTCAATTTCTTGACTTATCTTCAGGGCCTTCTGATGCCACTCTAGAGCTGCTTCATACTCCCTCATATCAAAATGGGCCCATCCTAACCTGTTGTAAGCCCATCCCTCTTCGCGCTGCCTGGCTAGTGTGAGATACCGTTCATAATATTGGATGGATGTACGGGGGGAGTGGAGTAGTTCCCTATGCATGTCACCAGCCTTAAGGTAAATCGACATCTGTTCATGTTGATTCCCTGTCTGCTCTGCTATCCGTAAGGCTGTGCCGTGGTGAGATGTTGCCAGATCAAGTTTACCCAGAAGCCTGTAGGTACAACCAAGATTTGCGTGTGCTCTAATCTGTTGTCTATTGTCTCCAGTATCTTGACTCATACCTAGGTGCTTCTGATGCCACGCCAAAGCCTTCTCATACTCCCCCATCTCGTAATGGGCCAGTCCCAGCCTCTCGTAAGCCGAAGCTGTTTCAATACTTTTCGTCAACTGCCTGGCTAGTGAGAGAACCTGTTCATAATACTGGATGGCTGTACGTGGGGAGTGGAGTTGTTCCCTCTGCAAGTCACCCATCTTACAGTAAACATCCATCTGTCCCTGTAGGTTCTCTGTGTGCTGTGCCAGCTGTAAGGCTGTGTCAAAGTGGGATGTCGCCTGTTCGGCTTTTCCAAGTAATCTGTAGGAATTTCCCACAGCCGCGAGCGCTGTTACCTCTTCTTTCTTGTCTTCAATTTCTTGACTAATCGTAAGGTATTTTTTATACCACTCTAGAGCTGCTTCATACTCCCTCCTCTCTAAATGGGCCAGTCCCATCCTGTTATAAGCCACTCCCTCACAGCGCCTGTCCCCCAACTGCCTGGCTAGTGCGAGAGCCTGTTCATAATAGTGGATGGCTGTACGTGGGGAATTACATTTGTCCCTCTGCATGTCACCCATGCGCATGTAAACCCACATTTGGCCATACTCGTCCCCCTTTTCCTGTGCCATCTCTAAGGCTGTGTCAAGCTGAGATGCTGTCTGGTTTACCTTAACTGATAAAACACCAGCATTCATATGAGCTAATATTTGGTCTCTCTTGTCTGCACTTACTTGGCTCATCTTTAAGTGCTTCTGAGCCCACTCTAGCGCTAGCTCGTTATCTTGCATTCCCTCACAAGCCAGACTTAATCTGTTGTAAGCTAGCATTTCCCAATACATGTTTCTCAATTCCAAAGCTACAGTCAACATCTTTGTGTAGTGTTTGTGGGAGACTTGTGCTTCGTTTAGCTGAACCCTATGTAGATCACCCATTTTACAGTGAATGTACACCTCTTCCATCTTGTTTCCTGTATTCCTAGCCAATTGCAAGGCTGTTTTGTAATTAGCCTTTGCATCTGACAATTTACTTGACAATATCAATGACGATCCTAAGTTTTTGTAAGCTACACAGAGGTCAACGTCATCCCCAACTACATCCCTACAGATCTCCAGAACTCTCTCATGACTCCTAGTGGCTTCCTCATGTTTACCTAACATGTCATAGGTCAAACCTAGTCTGTTATGGGCCTTTGCTTGTTTGCTGTTTTCTACAAGCGAACGTTCTAGCATGCTTCTATAATACTGCAGTGCTAACTCTAAGTTGTATAGTTTAGCCCTATATAGATCACCTATCTGACAGTACAGGACACACTGTTGTTCCTGGTCTGCCATCACTGCAGGCGTGTCCAGCTCAGCAAGGAGGGTCTCTAACCTGGACTTGGCGTCCTGAACACCTGAGGAATTGGACAAAGATAATCAAATGGGAAATCGTTTTAATTCATGAGTCGTCAGAAAAAGAAAGAATATTTGTGCGTGTGTGCTTTAGCAAAAAAATTTGCTAAGAACGAAGGTGTTGTTTTATAGTTCGAGTTTTGTTTTCCAATGATAATCAATACAAGTTAGTAGTACATAGATAATAGAATACATTTAAATGATAAGATAAAATGCATGGACGATCGCCAATGATATCAACCGAGCCTACCTGCAGATGTGTCCGGTTCAATGGGTCCTAATGCTTTCATGGGTTCCCACACCAGTCTTTCCAGCTCCCTGATGTGCAGTGAGGCCAGTTCGGAAGTTTCACTACGCACGTCTGTATCATCGCATGTCTCTGTCGTCTGTTGATCTGTGCATACAAACAGCAGCAATGGAAATGGATAGTTTTAAATACTTTAATCGACGCAATCAATATTCAAAACTTTTGGTCTGACTTACATCACAAATTATTCACGTTATGGCAAGAATCAAATCAGTCATAACCCGGCCCGGTAGTTCTGGCTCCCAATGTTGAGTCGTTCCGGGCCGGGCTGGCGGCCTGTCCGCCTTAGCCTTGACCTCTTCTCCCCCCCTAATGGCACCCATCGCGGGGTTATTTGTCGATTAAAGACGAAGACGAAGTCACATCCACACAATCTGACCTGTGGCTATTTCCCCGGGAGAGTGTTCAGTAGAGATGATCTCCTTAACTTCTGTTTCTTCCGATTCTGTGTCTTCTGACGTGCTGTCTCTTGTAGTAAGTGTTGCTGCATCGACTCTTGACTCGGTTGTTACTTGTTCGTCTTCTGATCCGTTGACGTCGGGTGTCACGACTGTGGTTTCCGTCTCTGTGGGTTGCAGGAAATCAAGGGATGTTGTTGACGCGTTTTGCATTTGGATTGGTAATGATCTATCAGCAGATGTGTGAGCGAGCGAGCGAGCGACTGACTGACTGTGTGTGTGTGTGTGTGTGTGTGTGTGTGTGTGTGTGTGTGTGTGTGATTGACTGACTCTGTGTGTGTGTGGTTGGATTACCGTTAAACTCTCAAGATTTTAAGATGTTAACATGACTACGATAATACCTCCTGGATTTGAACTAATTGTATTCTTCAGACTTACCTTTTATTTTGTGTTCTTGCTCAAGACGCTCGGCTTCTTCTGCCAACTCTCCCTTTCCGAGACATCTTAGAACCTGCACAAGGAACCCCAGATTTCCCCTTCCAATCGTTTTGTCGTCTGCTAACATGTTAAAGATTTCTAGCGGTGTTGCCTTTTCAGTTTTTGCCTTGCCAAGAATTTTATCAACAGCTAGTAAGGATCTAAGATCTCTAACTTCATCCTCTGTCAGATTGACAGAGATATTGGAGTACAGCTGGGCCAGTCTGGAAAGTTGAGCCATGTTGGTACGGTGTTAAGCCTGAAATAGATAAATGAGGAAGTGGGTAACTTTAAATACGGTTGATAACTGTAACATTTGTAAAATATTACAAGAAGAAAAGACAATAAGGCAAGTCAATCAATAATTACATTCAATAGTACACTGACACTGCTTTGAAGAGGGAAGCATTCAGTGCCAAATCTTAAAACGCTCCATGAATGACACCCTTTACATAATAGTTACACAAGTCAGCAGCTTTCAGTACTAGCAAGCATTTTCCACCTCTTAACTCAAGTCAACTGTTCAAGAAGATACCAGTAACGTTACTAGTAACGATAGAAATGGGAGGTTTTAGTTGTCAACCATACAGATGCCCCCACACGTTAACAGAGATGGTATGTCCCGGGAGCTATTAGACCTAGGGGACTGCCAGAAGGTCATAGGTCAGGGGATTTGCCAAGTCATTATCTCTTTGTGTTTATGTCACGGGATATTATGGTCAATGGACGGCTCTTCGACCATAAGTGTACATAGCGGCGATGCCTGTCTGCCTAAAAAGTCTTCCAAATTAATTGAATTATATAATTATAGTGGACTGATTCACAATTAGCATGACTGGAATCCTCGGAGACGCTGTGTTGAACGTAGGCTGTAACGAATGTACGGTTTGTGCTACGGCAGGGAAAAATGGGAAACGTAACTTAACATACTCTCCAAGCAGAGGTTTGGGTTTGGGGTTATTTTCAGCGTGTTTTAGGCTTTTTATCGGGGTTTCTCTTTTGCACTGAATTTTTCCCCCACCAAAATTCAGTGCAAAAGAGAAACCCCGATGAAAAGCCTTAACCACACTGAAAATAACCCCAAACCCAAACCTCTGCTTGGAGAGTAACTTAACACCGGTGTCTTTGTCAGTGCTTCTATGGGGGTAAGGTGTAACGTTGCACCATGCAGTTTACACAGTAACAAAAGGTAGGCTGGCAGCCATGTTGTTGCCCAAAATACCGAGTCGGACATGTTTACCACTTCGTCAGAGCAAACAGTCCGCCATCGCTGCTTAAGGAAGTTTTATCGAGATTCGCTAAAGTTCAGAGACACGAAAGAAAGATTTTTTACCCTTATACATTACTGTCCTCATCTATGATTCTATGATCTGATTGTTGTGTTATTTCTTAAGTCTCTGTGCGTAAACAGAGAGTGCTACAAGGCCATAGGTCAGAGAAATTGCTACTCATTAGACAATCCTTCTCATTAGAAAGTAATATGTTCACTCTTAAAGCAAATGAACAAAATATTCTGGAAGACAAGTTTAAACAATGAAGATTAGCAAGGCAAACAGCTTAGCAAGCTTAGCAAGGCAATCTCAAAGAATACCGGTCTTAGCCTGTGTCGTGTCATGTCATTATTGTGTCTCCCAAAAAGAAATCGACCCAAAATGCGACCACTGAAAGTGAACGTGTTAGTTTTTAAACCACACAAGTTGTTATCCAGCTGTCCACCAAACCATCCCCTCCCCGCCCTGAACCAAATTTGGTATGTTCCGCGGAACAGTCAGTGTCAACAACTTTCCCTACCTTTCCTAACGTTGTTGGCGCAAGACAACATGGACACAGTATATCAAAGGGAATATTAGTAATCTAAATGATGACACAGATGCATGCTCAAAGTGAACTCGTACTCCTAAATCATCTATGTTTATCCAGTAATTAAGGAGTAACTAGAGGCTGACCTCTAAAAGCTCTCCCTCCCCAACCCCCTACCTTATCAGGAGCTTCATACCCCCCCCCACCCACACACACACATAACAGTCTGGATAGGGTTAGACAAGAACATTTAGACATTCTAGTCGATCTAATGTTTGCTATGCTGGAATATTCAACTGTTGCCATGAAGGTCGTATGTTTGTTTACTGTTACTGTGTAAGTTCTAGTCAGTGTTTGAATCCTTGGACGTCGTTGAGGTTGTGCGTCGGAATAAGCAACTTTCTACCTTTCTTCCTCTGGTTTACAGCTTATCAATTCATGTGAAGATTATTTGTTATCTTTGAATACGTTTTAAGCATGTTACTGCGAATATACAATAGGTATATATGTGTACAAAGTAGTGAGAGAAAAAACAAGAACAATTTTAGAGAAACTCCGAGAGAAAGAAATATGCGTTTCTCTTATACTCACCGTCAGAAGAAGGAAGTCTTCCTCTTTTCCCCACTGACGTTGTGTGTTGAGTCGGGGCTGTAACAGGTGTACGGTATGTGTTACCTCAAGGCATAATGGGGAACGTAACGGAACACTGGTGTCTTTGACAGTGTTTCTATGGGGGTAAGGCGTAACGTACACCATAACAAAAGGCTCGACCACACCTGGAGGTCTGGCTGCCATATTGCCCCCCCC